CCTTCGTTCGACCCTTTGTTCACAGGGCCGGGAGGAGCAACGTAGTTCAAAATCCAGTTCATAAGGTGGTTACAATAGGGGCAAGCTGCAGTTGGGTCGTCAGTAACATTGTTACTACTACTGTAACAATTACCGCATCAGTAAAAGGTCTTCCTAGTTGGCTTTTCAATAAGAAGTAAAAGAGGAACTGAAGTAGGTGGCATTGGTTTTAGAAGGATGTTCTTATTCTGACCCACTTGAATGCGATACTGTCTTAGAGGTTTCCCAAGCAGCCCACCATTTCTTGTTTTCCAAGCAACCTAATAACAGTAGCTAATGGCAAAGCAAGAACGTGAAATATGAAATCGACGAAGTCTTTTCCAGCTTCGGCGAATAAAACCCTTTTGCCTATTGTATCGATCAAAAGTTTCAATCTCACTTTTGATTCTGCCATACTTGCTGTTTGACTGTTTCTGATAACTTGGATCATTATGAATGAGAAGTCTTTTACTGCAATTAGAAGTCCCCAGCAAGAGGAGATAAGGATTAGATGTCGGAAACTAAGAATTTGTTTTTAATACAAATCTATCTTCATATGAATTTTAATTATATAAGAGTTTTATTGAAATCGGATTCTAATTTTAATTATCGTGCAATTTAAGACTCACTTGGCAAAGCTTTTAAAAAGTTGAAAGTTGCTTCTAAGACTAAAAAGTTGCTTTTGAACGTATTTGTATAATTTTCTAAAAGTGTTAGTCTTGCTAAAAGAACTTTTAAAAGAAGTCTGTCTAAAATAGTTATTTCAGAAAACTCTTCTACAAAAAGTAGAAGTCTTGCCCCATGGACCCTTAGTGTGGTTGCAACATACAATTGAAACTAGTGTGGTTGAGGTAATATAACTTCCAAACGATAACAACTAAAAAGTAGTTTCATCCAAATGTTCTGTTGACACGTCACACTGGACTTATTCAGGTAAAAACATAAAAATAAGCTTACACTGTAAACAACGTAATATATTTCATAATGCTACAACAGATTACTCAAGGATCACAATTTACACATCAACTTTAAACCAGCAATGCAAAATTCAGATCAGCATCCTAATATTTAATCAAGCCCAAGTTCTTCAACCAAGGAAGCATTTCTGTTAGACCATCTTCGAAGCTTCTCGGGGTATAACCCAGCCCTGCCTTGGCCTTCTCACAACTGTAAGCCCACTGATGTCTCAGAACATCAACAGTCTGTTCAACAGAGCAGAAATAGATCAAAAGATGCCATAGCAGTGGCCTAAATGGGAACCTTAAAAAAAGCATAGAAGCCAGAAGAAAAATAAAAAACGAGACATCATGTACTACACTCTTAGCATTTTGGAGAGCTAAGGATCGCAAAAATCAAACATACATGAAATGCTAGAATTAAGATTTAAACATAGATGGTCGCTGTCTGGCAGAAGTAGCACTAGATTGTATGTTCAATTTGTTCTAGGAGTGATGATGGGGATTATGCACCAACAGTGATGGCCTAGTGATCCTTGTAATGATATAGTACAGTCAACAAGCAGTAGGTCGAGAAACTGGATGGCATACGTTAACAGCCTATTCCCATAATGGTAGAATGTAGTATTATCGCAGCAATAAGATGGAAAAGGGACATGATGATGTTGCAGATGTAGCATTCTTGGACAGAAACAAGCATACATTGGAAACTAAAGGAGTTCCAAACTTTATACCAGCCTCGTGTTTCCTATACTCCGTAAAGGGACATTTAGCAAAAGTATTTATACGAATTCCATAGAGTGACCTCAGTAGTCTCCCACTTGATGAAATATAGTCTTCATCTGAGATTCATTGCACAGTGGCAACAGCAACCATAAAGATACAGTCTCAAGCTTTTCCAACCTTTAGTTATGCATTGCAGATTTAATCAAAACTTTACTAGATCAAAGGATCACATATGCTAAACAGTATCAAGAATTGGTATGGTAGTAAAAACCAGTTTCACGACAGAAAGCCATACCGGGGGACTGACTATGGGAAGCTTTCCGGTTATCCGGGCACCAATAACAGATAGCCTTCCATATACGTCAACCATAGACAGTGGTATGGTGAACCAAGGTTTTGCCGTCTTAGTAATGCTAGCAGCTAAATCAAATACATCTCTGAATGACATATTTTCTCCTGTAAGAAGATACCTTTCACCTGGTCGACCTTTGTCCACTGCAGCAATGTGTCCCTGAACTACATCATCAACGTGACAGAAAGAGAACTTGTCATTTCCTTTTCCCACATATCCAGGTAGCCGTCCATTAAAGCGTTCTACAAGCTTATAGAAAGAAGATATGCATGGTCAGTTCATAGACTCTACAGAGCAGACCAGAGTTGATCATCAACTCCCATTTCAAGTTTACTCAACATTCACATCAACACATAAGCAGAAAGAACTAGATGCAGATGAAAAATAAGACGCGATGGATTTTATTGAAGAGATTGCAGTTATTTAAATGAGACCAATGCTCAAACTCTGTAACTACAGAATCACTGTAAACATGAAATAAGTAACATTATGAAACAGTGTAAATATTAACGCTCAAATTGTGAATTGTTAATAGATTCGTTCTTGATGTTAAGGGTAAAATTTCAAGTCCGAATTTTTATGAAAACATTAACCAAAATATAACCTTTAAAATGGAAGCCCTAAATTTAATAGTTAAATCACCATTACTCTAAACCTACTCTTCCACAAACAGTACTTGAACACTGCAAATTTCATTGTGATCAACCATATGTTCATCAGTTAGAGATACTCGACCCTGATCAACTAAAAATTCAAGAAATTTTACCATCTGCGAAACAAAGTTTCCATTTGTCACTTTGCCAGGACCATATATAACTCCTGGGTAAATCAGCACTATCGGCAAACCCTCGGATGCAGCTTCCAAAGCAATTTTATCTGCCATTGCCTTCGATCTTTCATACTCTGTGCAGAAATGTTCACCAGGATGCACCTATGCAATAGTATACACCACCAAAAATCTCAACAAACCCACAAAAGATAATGGGAAAAACGGGGGAACAAAAATTAACTAATTAATCTAAATTGAATTTTACAAAAACTCTGGTCATACTTGAGTTTCATCTGCAATATACCCATCAGTCGATCCCAATGCGAAAAACGACGACGTATAAATAATTTTCTGAATTGATTTGGTCTCCTTACAGGCCTGTATAACATTCTTCAATCCTCCAACATTAACCTGTAATTATGAACTAAAAGCCAATAAAAAACTCAACTTTGAATCAATCTGATCGAGTAAAATCAGGGCTTAATTGTGCAACTGCAAAGATGGATTACAGTAAAGAATTTGGAGGGGTCTGGAAGCCAGGGCTCAACGAGGGCAGCAGCATGAAAAATTAACTGGCAATCATTGCAAGCTTCATAGAGGGAATTATAATCGGTAACATCTCCATAAGCCAGCTCAAGAGCTCCGCCAGTTGCGCCGCCGTCAGTGGGCGGAGGTAAGGATGAGAGGTTACTGGTCTTGCGGACAAAAGCCTTAACGTGGTAGCCTTGATCGAGAAGGGCGTGGCAAAGTCTACCGCCTAAGTAACCAGAAGCACCGGTCACCAATACAGTCTCCTTCATGATGAAATCAAATATGGGTTTGTCAACCACTACTCTAGGAATCTCAATTCAGTTCTTATGAACTGGATGTAATTATTTATGCGGCACGAGGCCCACAAGTCATGTAATAAAATATGAAATTATCATAAAGTTGATACTGTCAAGGAAGATTGAAGTACCCCACCTGGCTCCTTCCTGCTACTTGACAAAATTACGAGGTTTTGAAAAAAATGACCTTAGATGATGACTTGTTTTCTTCTACTTTCATAAACCATCTATAGTAATTCTTGAGGGAGTCTTGACGATGAGACGAACAAACATATATGTTATGTTAAAAATGTCTCTCATAACTCATTTGAAAATGTTTGAGATACTTGTCCGTCCCTCCGCTTCTTACCCAAAGTTTCTTGTGTATATTCCCATACACAGAGCTCATGGCAATCCCGTGTCAGGTCATGGGTAGAATAGTTGCGAATCATCGGTTAGACAGATAAAAGGATGAAGAAGTCAATAGAAACGGGTTTTAATATGTGAAGATCACTATAAATCATTAATTACATGTTTGATGTGAGGATTAAATAACACTGAAAGTAGAATACTAGTGAATCTATGATAATATTAATTGTTTCACAACGCACAGTACTCCTAAACATTTGTTTGTCTTATGTTTCAGTGTCCAATCGAAGCTTCTACCCAAGGACAAGCTGCTACACTTGGATATTGACAGAACATGTGTCTTATGCGGATCTCAAGCCGAAATTGTCCAACATTTAGGGATTGTTCTCTTTGTTGTTTTCAGGTCATTTTCAGTTTTCGAAAATACTGAAAACATGTTTACTTACCTATTTTCATAAAAGAATTTTCAAAAACGAGTTTAAAATTTACAAAGAAAATGGAAAATGTCAAAAAAGTTGTTTTAACTATTTTCAGTTAAAACCAAGCCAAAATTTCATTTTTTTATATTTGAAAACAAATTTTCAAAATGACAAAAAGAACTCGTTTTCAGCAATCTCAAATTGGACAGTCAAAATACAAAATCCAAAATGCATTCAAAACTCAAAACTAAAAACTGAAACACGAAAAGAACAACCCCTTATTCTTTCAGTATTCTTTGAGTTCGGCAGCATTTATTCTTTCAGTGTTCTTTGAGTTCGATCACTTGGGGCAGTTTAGATCATGGCTAGGTATTACTCGTTCAATTACTACAATTGGAAGTGCATTGAAATAGATCAAGAAGGAAGCCCGCACGGCATCTTGGCAAAGTAAAACCAAAAAAAATTGCACTTACAAAAACTGTTCATCATCTTTGAATAGCGAGGAATAGGAAGATTTTGAAGATTTTTGAGGATTTAAGGCCACACGCAAATTGCATCATGAGACGGATCAAAATACATATATACAAAGTTATGTTTTCATTGTATCCTAAAGTTTTACTTCATTTTGAGTATTTAACATTGGGTCATTATATCGTTAACGTTGTAATGTTTGTTTTGTATGTTCAAATATGTTCGGAGTACTTGTACAAAAATTTTAAAAAATGAAGAAAAGGAAGAAAAAATTTAATATTTTATTGTCAAATCACATCTAATACAACAATTCAGCCACAAACTTGCTTCATGTATAGAAGCAAAAACAACATAAATTCAAACACACACAGCATGTGGGTCCCGCAATTTTTTTGAAAAATTTCTGTACAAACGGAATTCTCCACTCAGCCCACCATGCACTATAGGTATATGAGTAGGAAAAAGAATCTAAAACAATAATTTCTAGACTAGTTTTTTAAGATCCATCATTTTCTCGGATATTAGCTCCATTGGTACTCTCCTTTTTCAGGCTCTACTCTGTGCTCGTGTTAAGATGAGAAACAAAGGGACAACGAGGAGAAGGCAACCTTAGAGAAAAGCTTCACTTGCAATTTCCATTTCCAATTCTAATACAGCGTATATGATTCTGTCTAATCTAATGTTACAGAGTTGCCAATAACATATCTGTACATTTGAGAATTGCTATTAAAAGAAAGATCATTCAGAGTGTTGCTATTGTTTACAAACAACAGAGGGAGAATATCTCGGGTAACAACTTCTTTGATGTCATTTCAATCATTTTCTTGCCCAAGATTCTGTAGAGAATGGTAAATAGTGTCCATACATTGCTGAGGTCTCTTCATGGCTACCTAAGACCAAAAGCAAGCTATGCCACAAGTTGATAATCAGCAGCAAACATTATAATCTTGAGCGGCGAATGCATTTCAGATTGAAGGGTGAATGTCTTCGCCCAGAGACAAATGGTGCCCTTCTTGATAAGGGTGATGATTTCAGATCCCAGTCTTAGACATTCTTTGGGACACATGCGTCGAAGAGGAATTGACCAAGAACTCCGAAGGCACTGATTTTGGGTGGGCTCGATAGATGTATATAACGATCTTTATGTTCATTGTAAAAAGAACCACCATCTCTATCCTCGTGATATTCTATAGAACTGGGCACAAGGAAATGGTCATTCAAGTGGTGGGGAATAGTCTGGAAGCTGTAATTTAATCCTGCCGCTGCTCTTTTCAGATTGCCAAATGGGTCAGATATGTCATAACGTGTGCCTTCCAAGCCCATCTTCTCCCCTTCAAGTTTCCGTATTCTTTGGGAATAAATTACATATGCTTTTCCAAGTAGTTCAGTCAAGACAGCCTTGTATTCAACTGGGAAGTGTCGAAAATGACCAGTGTAATATAACACGTGAGAAATAACGTATTAAGAACACATGATTATTTAACGCATGGTTGTTGGGAAACCATAATGTTACAGCAGACTAGTTATCAATGAAAAGAAAATAAACTGCAATGCTCGCTTATCTAAAGATAAACTACAGAAACAGAAAAGACACCAATAGCGCTCCCAACAAAAAGGTATTGGAAGGTAACCACAACTTCTTGTGTGTGGTTCTGTAGTTGATTAAGTGCACGATGCACACACTTGTATCTGAAAACAACTTTTAGTAGTTTTTTGTAGCCTATATTTGGCATTTTGGAGTGGCTTATACTGAAAAATAAGTTCCGAATGTGTGGCTTATTTTGAATGTAGGTGGGTCCACACCAAAAATAAGCCCCACATTTAGTGCTTAGTTTTAAGCATAAGCCACCCAAAACATGCTCGCAAGTTACAATATGCTCAATCTGAACCCTGTTGGTTTCCCCTTCCTACATACTGGTTACAACCACCTATAGGTGAGTAGATACCTTAACCTGCAAGTCCAGCCCTCGGTCTCCCCATTGGCTGGTCTGCTGGCAGATTTTCTTAGTGAATGACCAACTAATATAGATAATAAATTGCAACTAAGGGTCCTTTTGGTATTTGTGTCCCAGCCTTCTATTTTCTAACACAAGGGTCATTTTGGACACTTTTCATTCAAATTAATCCCCTGTTCGACAACCATTCATTCAAAAGAATGAGTTTTTGAATAGTAAATTTTGGAGGATGTGTGGTTAAAAAGTGGAAATTTTTTTTTGAGTTTTACTAGAATAATTTTTTATTGTAAAAATGAGTAGTTGAAAATGAGTATGAGAATAAAAGAGTTTTGAAGAATGCTTGTCAAACAGAGGCTAAGCATTAAATTTCATTCAAAACACAAATCTTCCCTCACACTAAATTAAGCAAAAACATATAAAAATAGGAACAAAAATTGAAAAAAATAAATGTTAGTCCGTTCCTATAGCAAGGTAAGGGAATAAATCATGAAAAAAGCTACATGGAGATGTCAAAAAACCAGCATTCCCATCATTCAAACTTCGAAATTCGCTAAAGAACAATAATATTAAAAGGATAATTTTTCATTATAATGAGATCAAAATTTACTCATAAAAAGCATCCATGTAGAATCGTAGATCCAATAGTTTCTGCAAACTGCCGTAAGCATTCATTTCATCTCTCCTAAAGTCACAATAAATGCAATCTTAGAATGAAACATAATGTAGAACAGTAATTCCATCTGAAATACACAATGATGTTCTCCAAATTTAATCACTACCAAACAAAATTACACTAAAATTGAAGTAAAATGACATCCACAAGACTCCTCACCCATGTAGGTCAGCTCGGCTAACAGAAAACATACAAACAGTACCCCAAAAAAAATGATAAAAATTCATAATCAGAACCAGAATCCCAAATGTGAAATTGATGGGAAAATATGAAATTGAGCTTACAAATTGAGGAATCGGGAGTGGCAAACTAGGGAATTCCAGCCATGAGAAGAATAGAGATCAACATAATTCTTCAAGTGCCT